TCCAAGGACTGCTATCGGCATTGCCATGGGAACAAATGACCAAGCTTGATCTGGTCACGGTTCATCGCATGCTGCTGCGGATGCGCGCCGCCAGAGCCAGGTCGTGGGAACGACGCTGTCGGCGCGGCCGTGCGCCAAACCGGCGTTTCTCCGACCCGTCGCTCCACGCTCTAGACCCTCTGGTCTGCTGGATCTTCGACGCGCATGAATCGGGGCGGATGCCTTCAAACCGACGTCCTGCGGGGGCGCGCTTCGACCCCGTGCAACGCACGCTGGCTCTGCGCGCGAGGTTGTCATGGTGGCGAGACATGGCGGGCAGCGGCCCTGTGCGCTGGGCGACCTATGGCTGCGTCGCATCAAGGGCGAGCGCTCCTTGGAAAGAGGCGGCGATCCTTGCCATCGCGACGCGATGGCCTCCTACAGCTCTCTGGCCAAGTGTGCGCGCGACTGCGACCTGATTCCTAGGCGCGCTTCAGGGGCCTGTCATGTCGGAAGGGGCATGGTGCCCCAGGCCCGCCCCTCTCTCCCCGTTGCCGCTTATCCGGATCTGGGCGGAAACCTGCGTCAGTATGAGAATGTGTATGTCAGCGGAGTGCCCGAGAAAGAGCCGCGTGGCTTACTGGGCTGGTTCTGGCAGATGGGGCCAGAAGCCCGCTCTGGCCTCCTCTTCTCCGAAGTGACGGTGCATGCAGGCCAGGAGTGGGCGAGCTGTCTCGCTGCGAGCCGCAGCGGCATCGCGGTGCAGACGCCGCCGATCGGCATCCAGAGTGCGCCGCCCCACTAGCTCGTGCCGCTGTCGTCTCCAGGACCAATCTACAGGCTCGTGAGCTTGTGTTGGCGCCATCTGCGGACGTGAAATCGTGGCGCCCATGGGTCTTGCGGCGACCGAGACAGTTAGGGCTGGGCCCAGGCCGGCGAGGAGAGCAGAGGTGCTATTCAGCAGGGAAGGAGACGGGGCGTGGCGCGAGCTGAGGGGGGCCAGCTACGGGTTCGCCCGCCATTTGATCGCATCGATGAGCAGCCACAGCAGAGGGTCTGGCGCGCGGGGCCATTAGGTGGGAGGCATCGCATGACGACGAGAGCGTGCAGTCGAAACTCGCGGCCTTCATCGAGCACCTCCACCGCAATGCCAATGCTGAGCGGGGCGCGCCGGATTGGAGTTCCTTGTGGGAGAAATTGACGGGCGCGCGTCGCCGATCGGGCAGATGTTCCGCGGCAGTCGAGGGTCCCACTCTGCTTGATTCAGAGCAACTACAGGCCTTTATTTCGGCCAGACAGTTGCAGGCTGAGTATGCGGAATACAATTCGACGGGCATGGTTCGAGTGCCTGTCTCCTGGCAGCGAAGGGATCGACGCGACAGGGGCTGAACCCCGTGCCGTGCCAGCCGGAGCCGGCCCGATTTGGGCCGCCGCGGGTAGCCCACGTTCAGGCTCAACAGTGGGCTGTCGTGCTGCCTGCGCGCGCTCACCCATGGCCTCTCCATTCCTCAAGGCTTCAGATGAGGTCATGCACTGTCGCCGGCTGATGCGACCGTGCGTGCTTTGTGGCGCCGAAAAGTTTAGGGGCTGCGTGGGTGGGCGGTCAGGCAGATTGCACTTGTCCTCCAGCGCCGATCAATCGTTGGAGATGTGGATCTGTGGCGCTGCGGATCTTTTCCCATCTGAGCAATGGCTGCCAAGGCAGATGATTCCGGCGTGCGGGAGGTGTAGTGGAGGCGTGCTCACATGTTTTGCCTGCAGGTGGTTCCGATGGGCGGTCCCTCCCATTCGTGCCAATTCTCCGCGTGGAGTATCGCAATGGGTCATTGCCAGCGAGGTTGCGCACATCAGGTGGGGTCAGCTCCTCTGCGAGGCCGCTCGCAGTGCGCTGGTAAGACAGTGTATAGACTGTGGCCTTGCCGCGTTGGCGGGCTGCTAGGGTTGCCGGGCTATGCGGGGGGTCCCTCGTGAGGAGTCGGTGCCTGGACCACGCGCTTCGCCTTGTGTCATGTGCAATGCGAAGGAGGAAGAGTGCCGCTTCTGGCGTGACCCGCGGCATTTCCGCCCCAGGCCGCGCCCGTCTGCGGGCCGATCGATGTCTGCCCAGCACGGGGAAGCGAGGCCAATAGAGAGTGCAGCGGCGACATCGTTCTGCGGTTGGGGGCATGAGCTCTTTCTGAGGCCTCGGCCTGGCCCGCGCCTGTTCTGGGTTGGCCGCGTGGTCTTGGGGGTCTCAACCTGCCCCGCCCGCGCCCATCCGCTCTGGCCGTGGAGCCGGCCGTCGGCGACCCCCCCCGCCCTGACATCGTGGCGTTTGCTCCGCCCCCCCATCCCGTGCTTCCTGATCTCCCTCGTCTCGGCTCCGCTTCTTCGTGTGTGCCAGTGCGTGTTCGCCGAGAGTCCGTCCAGCTCTGCGCCTGCGAAATCTGGGCGCTGACGCCTCGGTGCCCTGCCCGTGCGTCTTAGCCGCCGCGGGTGCTTTTCGCCGGGCGCTCCGCCCTCGGCGGCGCGTTTGAGGCCCGCGCCGCTGCCGGGCGCGGGCGGCGCCTTCGCCTTGGGCGGCGTCGCGCGTCCCGCGCGTTGCCCGGCGCGGCGCCGCCGCGGGCCTCCGACCCCGCCGCCGAGCCGAAATGCTGTTGTGGAGCGGCGACGGCAGCGGCCATCTCGCCCCTTCGCCGCAGGAGTCTACGGCCCCCGCGTTCTTTTCCGGGCCCTCTGGCTGGCCGCGCTGTGGGGGGCCTGGGCAATGGGGTCGGTGCCCGGGGGGCGCGGGGATGCCGCGCCCCTCGTGGGGCCTTCCATTTGGTGGGCAGCTGTGCTGCTGCAGCCGGCGGCGCTCTTGGATGGCTGCCCTTGGCTGCCTGATTATCCTGGCGGGTAGTCGCAGTTGCGTTTGCCGTGGGCTCAGGCTTCGGCCGTGGTCGCTGTGCCGTGCCCCGGCACGGCCGCGCGTCTCCTCGCGCCGTTTCTATTTCTCGCCTCCGTTTCCCCTTCGCCCCATTACATTTTTGATCGTGGGGGCGGTTGTCTCGCCGGTTGTCCAATTCGGCGCGCTCGTCTTGCCCTTGCAGCTGCGCGGTGGTCGTCTTTTTGTCCACCTCTATGTCCGTCCTCACAGTTCGTTCTTCTGCTGTGACAGCTGGTATGGTTATGCAGGCAAGTCTTGCGTGTAAGTCTTTTCGTTCATGTACTTCTTTTCCAGTGCTTTCAGCATAGCTCGGATGACGCGGTTTCTCTCCGGGATACGCTGTGGTGGTGTTGTCGCGCATCGGTGGCCTTGCCACACCCATCGTCGCGACTGCTTTGCGTTGCTGGCCAGTAGGTGAACACCCTACCAGTCGGCTTCGCAGGACCGCGTTGGATCGACTGCTCCCTCAATCTGCTAGTCCTGCTGCAGTTACCGTATTTCCGTCGCGGTCCACTGTCCAGCAATGCTCTGGTGGTTCAGTGGCCGCCAATGTGCACAAGGCTGCTTGCGCTTAATTTCAATCTGAATTGGGTATACTCCTACACTTCCTCTTTCGCACCCATCGCCTGCATTTCATAGTGTGCGACGTTTCGTATATCGCGTCTTCGACAATGCCCGATCGCAATTTGCACTTCCATCTGCTCCTCGCGCTTGAGGACCCTTTGCGCCGCCGATTCCAAAACTGTGTGTATGTGTGTGTGTGTGTGTCTCTGACAGTGTGGGTGTGTGCGTGCCCCCCCGTTCCCCGCCTCATGTCGGGCACCGCTGCCGCCTCAACCTGTCTCTTGCCCTTCCGGGCTGCTCCCCGATGTCCTTCTTGTTTTTCCTATCAGCCCTTGGCTGGCCCGGGATTCCACGCGTTGCCTTGTTTCCTTTTCTTGGTAGGCCGCCGTTGCCGCTTTCCTGCTGCGCCACGCTTGTTGCGTCGGCTCGTCACTGTCGCACTGCTTCTTCATCATCCGTCCGTTCCCCCCTTTCCCCCTTTGCCCTATGGGAGGATCCAGTTTTTCCACGCTGCGTGGGCTGGCCAGGTTCGAGCTCTTTCGCTTGACTTGCCGTTTATCGCGCCGACGCGCGCGTAGCCGCGACGCCACAAAAGTCTGCGTGCCAGGGATGGGCCCCTTGGGACTGGTTCCAGTCCATTGCGCGCTCCCGACGTGCGTTGCGCTTCGGCTTGGGCCGTTGCTGGCCGACTGGTTGGACTTAATTCCGCTTGCTCAGTCTCATGGCTTGGATTTTGTTCAGTTTTCGGCTCCATTTATTTGGGCGCAGTGCGCATCATACATGAACTTCGCGACCTGCTAACTGAGCATCAAATCGGCCCCGTCGACTAGAAAAGCGTATGGCCGATTGCTGGCTGAGCCGCTCTCTGTCTTGTTTCCGAGTTTTGCGGTGATCGCAGGTACGCTACGACCCGTTGCGCTCCACTGAGGCTAAGCTGCTGCCGCCGCGCAGTACAGTCGCTACGAATTTCAGAACGCTGCGATTCACCGTTCCGCCATTCGAGTGTGCACTAGCATCAGGGGGTGCCAGTTGACCGGCTGGTTGAGTGTGCCAGCGGCCCGGTGACAGACACCAGCTCGTGTGCGTGGCAGCCACCGCTGGGTGCTTCCCGCCAATGGCCCTGGTCCACGCCGGTCCCAGGGCCTCACGTTTTTTGCTATGGCTTCCCGACGTTGCTGGTCAGCCTCTGTTCGACCGCGCGCCCGTCTTGTTTCTTTGTCGCCGTCCAGTTTCCCCTCCATCTCTGCCCCCGTTTCCCCCTCGCTGTTCCGATCATGCGGTCTCACCCGTTTTTCGCCGTGCTACTTGTCCTGCAGGCGCACGTAGGCTACTCGGAGGTTTCACTTCCACTGCCAGACTGACAGTGGGGCTACGGTCTCATGCACGTCCACATAAGGTGGCCAATTCAACGGATGCGCGCCCATTGACCATGCACCCGATGAGTGCGACCCATCACCGCGCTCGAGCAAAAGGTGTGCGTCAAGGCAGACCCGAGAGGCATATAGAGCGGCGCGTGCGCGTTTAGATTTTTGCTGCTCCCCACGCACAGGTTCCAGCAAAGAAGACGCTGGATTGTCGGAGTCAGGCCGGCGCAGCCAGAGAGATTGCAGCATAAGAGGGACGGCTAGAGTGGTAGATCTGGACAAATCCTGCGATAATTCGGCTTGATGGCGTCCTTCTTATCCCATGGTGGCAGTGGCGGCTGCACATCGCGAATGGGCCATCACACCAGAGTGGTTGAAGTATCGAGGTCATGGACAATACGTGTTGATTGGTGCGTCAAACGCGTAGCGGGTCCCGCTCACAGGATGCCAGCGCCATTTGCCCTGGGAGGTTGGGTCCAGCTGTTGCTGGTGTCCAGTAGGGGTCCGCCCGCAAGGGCCAACCCCCCGTAGTGTCGTGCCCACAAGGTCCCGCCCATGGTGACCCGATCTTGGTTTCCCTGGGCGGTGTGGCTTGGCCCGTGTTGGCCATAGGGTCCGTAGGGTCTGAGCCTCAGTTGCCATGTGCGGTGGGTTGGTCCTGCCCAGTGGGGCCCGCCCATGAGGTCCCGACCGTAGGGTCCCGGGGGTTCTGGTCTTGATGGCCCCATTGAAGTGTTTGGAGTCCACGCGCCGGGTGTTCAGATTTTATGGGCAGTGACCGTTGGGAAGCCCAAACGCAAGGGCAATTGAAGACAGGCTGCCATGAGCAACCACGGGATAGCCATAAAACACGGGCAACTAACCAAGACCTTTCGGGCAGGACCCCATGGGCAACCACGGGAATGGCAATAGACACAGCAGCTATGGCCTGGATGAGGAACCCACGGGAAACTTTTGGAGAGCTAACACACAGGGGCGATTCGGCAACCATGGGAGACCAGCACATGTGAACAATTGAGGTCTGGGCCCTTGTGGGCGGGACTCAATTGGCAATTGTCGTAACCGCGACACAGGTGCAAGTCTGTATTTCCTCCAAGTAAGAAGCCCTCACTTCAAGCCTTGTTTTGAGAGTGCCCGCGTCGCATATGCGAGACTGCGACCTCGAACTCCAGCCACGATTCGTCCGATATTTCAAAATTTCGGGCTATACGGGAGTCGCGGGAGTCAGTATGAGTTCAAACGGGCCGCATTCTATCTGACAAGCAAGTCACAAACCAGTTTTCCGTCCATCCTTGGAGTTCGTGGAATGTTGGATTTTCGGAGGGATAGTTCCTTGTACGTAAAGTACATCAGGCGAGAGGAAGCGATGTTGAACACTCTCGCTTTATCTTTATGAGGCCGTTAAACATGTTGATCCTCGGGCGTGTAAATTGTCATGGCGTTTCAGGTGAGAGCGATGTTCGGGGGACGGGCTGCCATTTATTGGTATATGTGTTGGATTCTCTAGTTTCGTGATCATCATTATTCTGCGCTGGAGTCTCAGGCGAAATGCCCCGCTCGCTTTACCAACACTATTGGTTGTGCGGCGAGGCGAGGAGGCTTCATTGTAAAGGAATAAGGATGGAGAGCGCCATGAGCAAGGTCTTCGATGTCACCAATGGAGGAGGGGCGCGCTTGTCGTCAGGAGAGGCCAGGCATTCAGGACGGTCGTCGCAGGCGTGTCGCTCCTCCTTGGATGTTCGTGACGGGACATCCCGACGAATTTGCTGCAGCTACATGTCGGCGGCCTACCAGGAGGTAACTCCTACATGCCACCCCCTACCTTCTTTTCCTCCTCCTCCTCCTCCTCCTTCACGTCCTGCTCCTCCTCCTCCTCCTTTGCCCAGAGGCCTGAACGCCAACGCGGCGGAGTTTGCACCCGCAGGCGTAGGCCTGAACGTCAACGCGGTGGAGTTTGTGCCCGCGGGCGCAGGTGCCATTGGGATCTAGGTGTCACCACCTGCGAGCCCTATCCGTGGGAGTCAAATCAACGGTGGTGCATCGGTCACCCCTGCCCATCTGCAGACACTTGTCAAACTCTGACTCCCCCGCCGGTGCCTCGCACATTACACCTTGCGGAATGAAAGAGTAATGAAAACATTCCGCTGTACCATAATCACGGGAGTCCACTTGGGATGTCATATGGGAGACCATATCGGGGACCATCCATATGGGAGACCTTACGCGAGGCTATACGGGAAATCATACGGACGAACAAACGGGGGACCATACGGGAGACCATAGGGGAGATCTTATGGGAGATTATACGGGCAAGCATCTGAGAGGCCATACGGGATACCAGACGGGAGATAATACAGGAAACCTCATGGGAAATATACGGGAGGCCACACGGGAGACCATGGGGGAGACCATACGGGAGACCATACGGGAGAACACCCGGGGACCACGGGGAAGTTCAAACGTGAGAGACGATGGGGGGCTCCATATGGGAGACCATACGGGAGACCATACGGGAGGACAGGAGACCATACGGGAAACCATACGGGAGAACATTGAGGAGACCATACGGGAGAGCGAACGGGAGACGTTTTGGAGATCATACGGGAGAGAATGCGGGTGACCACACGGGGAACCATACGGGAGACCATAGGGGAGAGCATATGGGGAGACCATAGGGGAGACCATAGGGGAGACCATTGGGGAGAGCACATGGGAGTCCACAGGGGATAGCATACGGGAGATTCTACACGAGACCCTACGGGAGACCCTACGGGAGACCATACGGGAGACCATGTGGGAGACCTTACGGGAGAACATCTGGGGACCATATGGGGGAGTGCTGGCGTCGGCGCGGGCGTTGGTGCCGGCTTAGGCGACCATACGTGAGAGCACATGGGTGACGATGCGGGAGTCCATACGGGAGATCATACGAAAGACCATGCGGGTGAGCAAATGGGAGACCATAGGGGAGATCAGGTGGGAGACCGTACGGAAGACATACGGGATACAGAACGGGCGACCATACGGGAGACCGTACGGGAGACCATATGGGAGACCATGCGGGAGAGCATGCTGTGGGCCATGCGGGAGAGCATGCGGGAGACCTGACGCGAGATCACGTGAGAGACCAAGTATACGCGGGACCATACGGCAGACCATACGGGAGACCGTAGGGGAGACCATACGGGAGAGCATATGGGGCGCCATACGGTGTGTCATACGGGAGAATTATGCAGGATAACATACGGGAAACATACGGGCGACAATCTGGGAGACCACAAAGGAGACCATACGGGGGACCATGGAGGAGACCATACGGGATGCCAGACGGGAGACCATGGAGTAGACTACACATGATAACATATGGAAGGCGATGTGGGAGTCCACACGGGAGAGACCGTATGGGAGTACATACGTGAGATTTTTTATGGGAAACCATACGGGAGACCGTACGGGATACACTCACGTCAACGGTTCTGGTGCCAGGAACGGATCCATACGGGTGAGGCCATACAGGAGGCCATCAGGCCACCGATTATGGGGCTGGCCACGGGCTCTCTGGTTGTGCTGCGAAGTTTATTTATACACATATATAGATGTTTACAGACACATTTACACATATATATATATATATGTATGTTTATGTACTTGTACATGTTTTTTTTATATACATACGTATGTGTATATGTGTATGTGTATGTATATGTATATGTTCGTGCATATTCACACGTACATGTATACGTTTATGTATATGCAAATGTATACATATATGTATATGTGCACGTATATATACACGCATATATTCTTATATGTATATGTCTAAATGTATAATCACATGATTTTGTATTTGTATATGTACATGTATATGTGCATGTACATGCATATGTATATGTATGTGTAGATGTATGCATGAATGTATGTGTTTATATAAATATATATGTACACATATCTATCTTTATATATATATATGTACATACATTTGCAAATGTGTATGTGTATGTGTATGTGCAGGTATATGTATATGTCTATGTCTATGTATATGTATAGGTATGTGTATTTATACATGTATTTGTATATACATATATATATATGTACTTTTATAGGTACATGCATATTCTATATGTATTTGTGTGTATATATATGCCTATGTGTATAAACATGTATACGTATATGCATAACTATGTATATATATGCATATATGTATGTATGTATATATGTTTGTATGTATATATATATATATATAGACCAGATGTCTAGGGAATTTGTCGTGCAGGGTCGGGTCCACATGTGGTTGCCTGATGTACCTCTTAGTCTGCAACGTCCTGTCGTATCCGCAGGCGTTCATTTGAGACAGAAAGTTGGCTGTGAAGCTCATGTTGCAATATTTCATCGCTGGCATGGAGTGCCGACCAATCTTTGCATCCCTCCTTTTTGTTTGCTCCTTCGATGCAAGCTCTGTGCACCTTGAGGTTCCCACGGTGATGTCCAGGATCCTGGCAAAGAAGAGCTGCCACACCAATGCAGCCTGGGGCTCAGCCACTTTACATATTCAACGCCACCTCTTGTTGTCGCATGTGAGCCATCGCGGTCCAGGTGTGGGTTCTGCCTTGCAGCGTGCAAGAGCTTTGCAAACTAATTACCCATGCAGTGACGCCGTCTGCCAAGGCTGCCAAGGAACGTTTAGTATCTGGTGCTTACCGCCGCCAGTTCCAGGGTCCAGGGGGATGCCGGGGGCTGCGTGGGGGGTCCTCCGCTGGCTTTCGGGGCTGGTGGTCCTCGATTCCTGCTCCCCTTCTCTTCCCCCGCTTTGAAGGCCTGCGCTTCTCGTAGCGCCGTTTCTGTCGTGCCAGTCCGCTTGGCCAACTCGTTGTCGTCTTTGGCTCACGCTGCCATTGTTCTGCGTAGTCCTGCATGGCCCCTACAGGAAACGCATATGGCTGTCCAGCAACCTGGCTCTGCGAAGCCCGGCTTTCGCGAGCTCCCCGCAACCACAGACGTGAGGGTCTGCCCACGTCTCGCTGCCCGTGCGGAGACCTGGTGCTCGTGCGGAAGGGAGGCCCGTCGGCCGTCGCTTCGGGCGTTGCTGTCGGGCCAGCTCATGCCCAAGCAATTGGTGTTCGTATCAGTGTGCGCGCCACGTGCACGTATGGCCTTTTGCACGATTCTCGTCGCGGGTGCAACGACGGAGGGGGCGGATCCCTAAGGTGAGCCCGCTTCAGCAACCGCGGCTGGAGAGTGCGCCGAAGCAGCACCCGTTGCTGCTGGAGAAGGCAGAGGTGGGTGCGGCCCGAAACTCTATTTTCTCCTCCTTCTGCCCCCTTCCTCCCTCCCTTCCTCCCTTTCTCCTCCTCTTTTCTTCTCTTCCTCTTTCTTTGCGCGCCCCTCTCCCCCCATTTTTCTCCTCCGCTTCCTTCTTCTCCTCCCCATCGTCCTCTCCTCCTTCCACTCTCGATGGGTCACCAGGCTAAGCGGGGTGCCACCAGGCCGCACGTGGGCCACCTGGCCCCGACTTCGAACGCGACGACGCCTCCACCGACTTCCCCTCAGATGCCCTTTCGGAAGATCTGAACGACTCTGATCACCAGATCTCTGCGTCCCAGTAGCGACCCGACAGCATTTTGGCGGACACCAAGGCCACGTTGATGCCCATGGTCGACACTCGGCAATCCATCCAAGAGCGCTACTGACCCACAGGACCCCGCGCGGACAAGGCCCTGCCTACTTGGAGCGTCTTTCGGGCCGGGTACCACCGTGAACTCCCCGACATTGACCCCGCACAAGGCTTTGTCCGGACGGACGAAGCCCTCATCCGCTTCATCCGCATTCGAGCATCGTGTCGAGCTGGGGACATTGATGGCTGGACCACGAAAAAAACCAAGACGCTCCCCGACGGGGTCTCCCGCCTTGTCGCCCAAGCCCTGCGGGCCATGCAAAGGTTGGACAAAGTCCCGGAGGCCCTCCTCAACATTCCAAACCCATGCCTCCGAAAAGGCAAGGGCGAGCTGCCTACCGACCAGCGCCTGCTTTCCGTGATGTCGGTCTAGATGCATGACTGGGAAGTCCCAGTCTACCGCAGTCTGGCGGCTTGGCGGTCTCACTGGACCCACCCCACCAGCTTCGGTCTGGTCCAGTCAGCACCTCCCACGCGATCTGAGTCGAGCAAGTCAATCTGCTTCTCTTGCCTCTCGCGGGAGCCGCCCTCGATCGACAGACTTTTTCGATTACTTGATCACGGACATCTGCCTCACCCTGTCCCTTCATGCGGGCTTCCGTGGACATCGTGCAGGTTCGGCGCGATTTCTTTTGGCATCACACCCGGTACATCCGCATGGGAGGGGCATACTCACCGCCGCTGGCACGCACCAGCCCCACCTCTAGGGTAGCTCCTTCTCGCTGGACGACATCAAGCTTCGCATGTGCGCTTGGGCGAGGCAGCAACACCGGTTCATCCCAAGGTCTCTCCGCACCACCTCTTGTGGATGGCAGCAATCCCACGGCGCCCACAGCGGCTTAGCTGGGTGCATCCCTGAGCCAAATGGTCTGCTTCGACGAGCTCTCTGGCCAGCAGATCCACCCTGGCAAAGTTGCTAGCTGGGCTCTCGGCGACGAACCACACCACCAGGTGTCTGCCCTCCTCCTCAACGACCAGCCCTTGGAGGTTCACCACCAGGTGAAGCTGGTCGGCAGCTGCATCAACGTGGTACCAGCCCGAACCCAGCAGACCTCATCTTGTCCGCCACGGCCGACGCTTTTGTCCGCCGAGCGGTCGACAGGGTCCCGCGCATAAGTGGCCTTCCCGAAGGCACCTGCGCGAGGGCCCGGTCAGCCCGGTCCCTGGCAGCCAGTATGTGCACCGCGGGCACTGACATCCAGGCGCCCAGCCACCAGGTCCGTAACCTGTACAACAACGCCAACTTCGCCACCATCCGTCCCAAGGGACGCACCTGGATGTCCCGATGAGCCCTCTTCGCCTTGACAGTGCCAGGCCACGCCTTCGGACTGGCTGCTGTCGCCTAGCGCGAAAACCTCCTCGGTGTGCGCCGCCAGGTGCTAAGAGACACCTGTCTCAAGGACAAGGCCGAGGAATTGCGCGACCACGCGCAGGACTTCTAGCGCGGCGGGCGCAGAGCGTTGCTCACCTGGACTGGAATTGGCCGTCCTTCGGCGCGATGCCCGACGACTGGGGCACTCCCCTTTCGTGGCCCAATTTTCCACTGTGCCTCTTCACCAATGTGCTGCGGGCATCCCAGCGTCGACCCCTCCTTCGCCACAACCCCTCCGCCCGCAACGACCTCGGTGCGGCTGGGCGTCGATTGCTATGCCTCGACGTGGCTGCAGCGGACCAAGGGTAAGGCCCACTGCGCTGCCTGGCAACTGGACGGCTGCGCAGCTACCTCTGCAGGGGCAACCACGCTCAGCAACGGCGCGCTCGCGCCGATACTTCCGCGGACACCCCCCTCTCCGCTGTTGGCGTAACACGGAGGAAGAGACACAGGAGCACACCATCCGGCGCGGCTCCTGCTGGGCCCACGAGCGACGGGCACTGGCCACCATGATCCCCCAGGAGTAATGGCGGGACCTGCCCCCGCGCGCGCCGCTGCGGCCTCCTCGAGGAGGGCCTCCGACTGAATGATCTCCAAGCTGACCTGGCCAGCGACGTCCTGCCGCAGCACCTCCTGCGGCAGCCGCCCGAGGCCGATGCTTCGGCGTCTGCGAGGGGTCTGCGACGCCACCGCAGGGTGGCGATAGGTGTGCGCGGCCACGGACGGGGCCTGCCCCCGCCAAGCGCGCCCCTTCCTGGCCCGGGCGGGTTGCGGCTACTGCGGCCCGGACCATCGCCTCAGCTGCTCGGCTAGGGTCCACGGCCTGGCCCAGTCGGCGCAGCGAGCCGGGGCCCTGGCCCTCCTCCACCTGGCGGCCATGGCCGTGCGCCCTGCGCGCGTCTTCAGTGACAATCAGGCGGTGGTCGACGGATTCGAGAGTCCCTCTTGGCAGGCTTCCCTCCTCTGGTGACTGATGAGGGGTCGATGTATTAAGTTGATAAGTTCACTGGCTGTTGAAAGACAAGGGTGGTGAAGGACATTTGGTATACCTCCGTTTGTTTTGGTATGCTTGTGGTGCCCACTGTTGGTTTTTGAAGGGCCCGTCCACAGGGGCTTCGCGCATCCTCCCCGATGGTGGGGAGGTGGGTGGGTGGGTCAGTAAAGTTGCTCCTCTCCGCCTCATCTTGCACTTGCCTCTCTTGCTGCCTGCCTTGTCATATCTTGACTGTACTTTGACTGCTGCATTCTGCAGCCGTTTGCTACTCGAGTAAGAAAAGGAGCGAGCTGGCCTTCGTCCGCGCTCGTCGTCGGTCGTCGGCCGGCCGGACCTCCCCCCTTCCCATACTTGAGTGCATTTGCTTAACGGATATATGGTTGTTTCGTCCATGTCTCATTCCGTATCCTCTACCACTGAGCAGAATCAACATGAGACCTTAATTCTTTTGACATCTTACCCCGATTCTCAGAGGAAAGATTGGTTATCAGCCGAAACCCGCGACCAAGTCGCAACGGGGATGAGCTATGATGAGACAGCCGAGTTGCCCGTCAGATTACACGTCGTACAACGAGGCGGGCAAGAACGCCAGGACAGCGGCCCGGGGATGGGCCGCCATCACTCTCCTTAAAACACTGCTCGGGTTTCTCGTGGAAGGGGTGAAGGAGAAGTTATAGATCTGTCAGTAGATGATTCTCCCACGCGCATTCCGATCAAGGATCGTGAACAGACCCCGGGCCCGACGAGGCGGGACGGCGCAGCAGCAAATGTAAGGCGAAGGGCTTTTTCATTTTGGATTGCTGAATCCTCTGAAACAATACGTTCTAGCCCGATTGCCATGCGGGCTATCGTGCCGGCCGCTGGCCTAGCCAGTGGGTCGCAAGACGTAGAAGAGTCCAGCAGTGTGTCTCCCACCGTCCCAGACGGATGGGGGCGTGCTCAAGGGATGAATCCCGCCCCGATAGCCTTGAATGGACAAGCCGGTCAGGATAGCGACGAACAGCTTGATGATGAAGATGATATAAACTCCATGGAGGAAGACATAGAATACGCCAATTATCAAGCATCGCTAAGCCGAGATTTGTCGTTAATAATCGATGCTGACCATTCTGTCCCGGAGGGAAGGTCGCCCCCTGGGCAGGAGACGGTTGACTGCGATCCCTAGGGGAGGCGCTTGCTGAACCAGCCTCAGATACCGAGATCAGTGACCTGCCGCCCCAGGCGGTCGAGGTTGGAATGGGCTACTAGTACCATGCGAAGCACGACCGGGAGATTACGGGGCGAACGCCAGCTCCTCAACATCAGAAGCATAGGAATGAAGATTTCGATCTACATGATTCCCCGCTCCAGGAAGGGTTCTATCGCCCTGCCGTCGCCCAAGGCGATTGGCAAACGTCAGTGCCCGCGGTAGTTGAGGATGACGAGATGATCGACCCCCCGGCTTCGCTCAATGAGTTGGTCAGACAAGACGAAAGGGATGAGAGGCTTCGAGAGGTGGTCAAGCCACCCGAGAGCACGTGCGTCCGCCCTCGATCGTCTGCTTCGAGCAGGGGAAGGCCCAAGATGCCGCGATCTGGAGCCCGATCGACTTCGAGGAGCAACAGTGCAGTATCCATGCGTGAGGTATGTTGGAACCAGGGCCCCGACTGCCCGCCCCAGTGGGGAAGCAGGTGCCCATGGGAAGCCCGCAAACAGGGGGGGCCCTGTAAGCGCCCGGTGTGTGTGGAAACTGTTCTAATGTGTGTCTTAATTGTGGCAATCAAGGGTTGTGTGAGGATTGCTTCCAGATGGAAGAACATAATTGCTCATGCCTTCTAATCCAAGCTATGCAGGATCAGGCCAGATTTGTTGAGGCCAAGACTCAGCAATAAATTGTGGTCCTGGAAGCCCAGGGGACCGAGCAGGCAAGACTGGATCGGGAAGAAATGAACGCAGTTATTAAGGATGTTCGGAAGAGGTTCGAGGCTGAGAGACTCGCTATGGCCCAAGCTGCCAGGAAGCGAGAACAAGAGTTGATGGAACGAATGTCCCACCAAACCACAGCTGCCCAGCAGCGCGCGGAGGAAGAAGCCGAGAAAATAATGGTTGAAACGATACCTTCCGAACGACAGGCTGCCGTGGCAGCGAGCAATCAGCCTGTCGATGCCAAGGCCGCTTGCGCCGCTGTGGCTGTGGCGAGAATAGAAGGGGAGAGGGTCGCAACAACCAGGACATAACATGATAAACAGGAGCTCCGAGA